GTTAATATATATATATATATATATATATATATATATATATAATTGATAGATATCTAATAGAGCACATAGAACATGTGTATATTGCATATCTCTTTACAATATGTTCAAGTTTATATGTTGATCCTTAATAGGGTTTTGCAAGTGGAGATTTGGATAAAGATGCATATGCTGTAAGAATGTTTGCCGAACGTGGAATCGAATTTATCTGTACGCAAAGCTTTGCGAAAAATTTTGGATTATACAACGAAAGGGTCGGCAATATAATTTTCGTAATGGCGGATACAAAAGAAATGATCCACGCTAAATCACAATTAACATTAATCATTCGAGGAATGTATAGCAATCCTCCTAATCATGGTGCTCGGATTGTAGCAACAGTACTGAAAAATCCAGAGCTCTTTGAGGAATGGTACTGTATTATTTATAAAACACTTAGAAATAATTATATTTTGATTACTTAATGTTCAATATTTTTAGGAAAGATCACATTAGAACAATGTCAAATAGAATTAAAGAAATGAGAATAGGCTTGCATCAAAGATTGCTCAAATTAGGCACTCCAGGTACTTGGGATCATATTGTTCAACAAATTGGAATGTTTTCATATACAGGACTCAATGGTTAGTTGTAAAAAGTATATTGTTGGGTTTACAATGTAGATTGAGATTGAAATAAGTTATGAAAAAAATTTGTCCTTTCAATTTCTTTTAGAAAAGCAAGTGCTGCATCTGAGGAATCATTATCACATTTACACGTTACGCAGTGGACGCATAAATATGTGTGGACTTAACGAAACCAATTTAGATTATGTCGCGAACGCAATTAATGAAACGATTAAACTGTTTCCAGATGCACAGAGTGATTGTACGTGTTAGGATATAATATTACAAGTACAAATTAATATTCAAGTCTGAATATTTAAAATGGCAATGTTTTATAGATCGTATATGTAATATAAAAAAATTCAATATCTTTAGTTATAGTTAGTAATGAGAGAAATGATTATTTTTTTTACTATTATTGAAATTTGATATACAAAGTCATGTATCTTGTCTTCATCCATTTGAGATCAAATTATTTTATACATATGTACTCTTTCTGGGATAAATTTTTTTCATTCTCTTATAAAATTCTACAAGATAAGATACAAAATATTGCAAAAACTATTACATGATGCTAAATTTTTCTGTATATTAATGTCATACTGTTATATGAAGAATATTTTTTAGCTGCATAATTTACATACATGTGTTTATAGAGTTATATAAAAGTAAAAAAGTTATTTAGTAATTTAGAAAAATGTCAAAAATGTTCTAAAAATATCTAATACCTATAAAGGTAAACTCATTTGTTAAAAATTTTAGCAGATGTTAAAATTTCATAGTGATTTTATTTAAACTGTAGAATCAATAAAATGTATACAGAAAAGATTGTATACAGAAAAAGATA